ATGCCACATTTTTGATAAATAAACAATACCCCATAAAATAGTGATTGAATTCCTCTGGATATGAATGAAGTGTTGATGTTGATTACTCATATACATTTATTGATCTGTATGACATTTATAACCTTTGTTATTATAACATCTTATCACTCTCAAAATCTGACAAGTATTTACATAAATCACCGTTCACTTTAATAATTTTTTTATTCTGGTCTTGTGGTAAGCACAGTTCCATGATTGAACATATTTAAAAAAAAAGATCCTGAAAACTTCATAGAGCTGCTGAAATTTTTTTTTTTTAAGGTTAATATTAGACTCCAGTGTGGTCATATCCTGGCCAAGAAAATCATTATTTTGTTCAATTTTGTTTGGCACTCTTCTACCTCGACAAGCATGAATATCTCTCTACAGACTACATTCATACTAGTATGTTCTCGCGACCTTTATTTTGTTATAAGAGTTGGGACACGATATCATCTTTTTTAAGAATCAAGGTATAGGGTGCCTGTGTATTAATTTGGCAAACCTCAGCCTCGATTCAAACTTCTGCAAAATTTCGAACTCTTCCCGTGTCCTCTTTCTTGTATACAAATATCTGGTATCGTGATGTTAATTTGCTTCCTCGAAATGAATATAAAGACAGCAAATGGTGAACTTTCTCAAAAGTCTATTTAAACAATACAAATATTATCAGCAGGTGGGAGCAGTTGCCATCGAGAAATAAGCATTCTCTGCCGAACGGTCACAACCGCCGTTTGTTTCATAAGCGGTAAGATCCGTAGTCAATTAGGTGTACCTGAAAATAATGGTGTAACAATTTGTAAGAAGGCGTCAGTCAACATTCGACCCAACAACAGACTGGATTTGCAAACAAGGTTATTGTATCGACCATAGAATTTGCAAAACCATTGTCTTTAAACGAGATTGTTGATATCCTTGGATAATCAACTTATTTGTCAATAGCTTGCCTAGTTTTAGAAATTGCTCGTGGTAAAGCGTACCCTTGTGTATCTATAATCAACTGGTAGAAATATACACCGTATGCAGGGATGATAGTGGCAAATTGCTACATAAAGAAGAGAAGTAGACGATAGAAAGGTTGAGGTCATCACGTTATCATAAAGCTTAGTTGTCAGTTTGCCATCAATGCCTTTCTCTTCTAAAATATCCAAATATGTGACATATGTGTCAGACTCTGTGGCGTTTTATATTTAGAGTTCGATGGAATATATCAAATGAACGTACATGTATGAATAAAACTGAGTATCTTTAATTGATAAAACGTCGTCGATATATCTGAATGTCGAACTGAAGCCTGTAGCGAGAGACCTCTTCTTTTCATGTAGAAGTTTTTGAATAAATTCTGCTTCATATGAATACAAAATGCCATGCTTAAAATGGGGCATAATTAGAACCCATGAGAATTCCAACAGGTTGTTTTGAAACACGGTCTCCGAAAACTACATAAAAGTTGTCAATAAGAAATTATTTTCATTATCAATCTCGGAGTACTTGTGTGTAAAATCAGAATGTTTTTAGTAAAATAGGTTTGCAGATTACCAATGACATGGTATACAATTCTACGAGTTCCATTTTTATTGATGAAGCAGTTGTCTATGTTGTCAAAAAGTCCGGTCTTTATCGTGTGAAATGTTTGTATAAAGTGTTGAAAAGTCATACCTTTTAATGCTATTGAAATTAGTAAAATTTTGTGAATTTAAATTTTCTAAAAGTTCCTTGGAGTTTTAGTATTCACATCTGATTAATACTGCCTCTCGAATATGTTGATGTAAGTGGTACCCCTGAAGTCTCTCCTTCACTGCTATTAATATTTTTGTGAGGAGAAAAATTTTCTGTCGTGCATTTTACGTAAAGCTTAAAATCATAAATGTATTTAAACCCTTGTCCAATGACAATTTGTGGCACATTTAAAAGTACATGTACATTTAATAAAACTTCGTCATTTCTGGTCCGGTCTTATCTTTTGAAGAAGAGTACTTTTATAGTCAAAAATGAGCGACTGGACACGCTTTTAACCTAGTCTGACGATTATTAGACACATTTCTGTATACGGAATATTTTGTTCTTTCTGCAGGTCTTAAATAAAACATAACCAATTCAAGTCTTCTGTAGCTGGACTGGACTTCAAGGCTGCAAACAATGTGTCAGTTTATAAAAGTGTTATCATTATAGAAGTTTGAAAAACCTTTTCTTATTGCAAGTTCCTTCCTTGGAAACGTTTCTAAACTTTTGTTTGGATGTCATTACCGTTCAAATTCCTTTCTCATCAAATATGAGGTCCAGAGCAGGGTTAGAAACTTCACAGTAGGATGTGGGAATACAACCTTAAAAAATCATTTATTCAAATCAAGCAAGACGTCATTAATTAAGAAATAAACAACAATGTTAAAAAGTTCTCTGGGAAATGAACTTGGTTGGTCACGTGATCAAATCCTGTGAAGCCCGAAGGGCTTCTCAGAAGATTTGATCACGTACCAACCAAGTTCATTTCCCAGTGAACTTTTTAACATTGTTGTTTATTACTTTTATTTACATTTGAGACGAATATTCTGAGTAGAACTGCATTTATTACACAAACGGCCCGCCGTATTGCTATGTTGTGACGCGCAATGACCTAGAAGCTGTTTGTTCTTCAGAGTTCGCCTCGCTCCAACATTTGAATATTTACATGGATGTTAAGCCGTCCAGTTCAGGAAATAACTGTTCGTAATGAAAAAACAATGATCGCTACTGAGAATAATCTTACTATTATTGTATGAGTTCTTTATATATGAAGTCAAAAGCGGTGGTATATCGTCTTCAGTTTACATACCTTCAAAGGAATTTCGGGTTAAAAAGGTAAGCGTGATTTTAGGCTAATTATAAACATTCTTCACACCCAAGAAAGATATAATTATCATTTGTTGAACAAAAAAAATATATGTTTCAATAATTTTATCTTTTTCATCGCTTTAACGGCTCAGAAGTTCCGAAACAGTGTCACTGTGACAGAAATATGTAGACAAGATATCGTCTTGCTGTGTGATTCGGTCACGCCATGACCTCTGACCCCCTAATAAGTTCATACAGAATTGAACATATTTCCTCTTCAATAGGTTCATCTAAGAAAAATATTTGCAAATGTAAATAACAATCTTTTAACGTTTGATTAATAGACTGTTCAAACTCCCAAATTACTGAAAATGTTGCATAAAAAATAATGCGTGCCTGTGTGATTGTATTTGATTTTGAAACAGAAACTACTAAGAACATGAAGAGTAATTGATTTAATTGAATTTTATTACATTTGTAATTTGATTTGTATATTATAATGGAAAATTGCTATATCTTTTATATTGGTAGAAAGTTATTAAGTAACTTTTAGGGTTAAAATGCGCTATTGATTATGACGTTATTAGCATTTATGTCATCATGACAAGTTTTTTTTTCTATAAAAGACAGGTTTTTTGGTTTGAAGTTACATGAAATCGACAGCAAATAGCGACCCAAGTATACAGATATAAATGATATTTGGGCGAGGGTAAGAAAATATGAGAAAAGGTGAGGCCTGCCGAGTTCTCTTTGCGTTTTCGACCGACCCTCAATAACACTTATATTTCAAGACAATTATTATGTTTTTTGTTTATCCTGCAACACAGTTTTTACATTAAACCTCAAAAATGAGCTATTTTTAACAAATTTAGGCTTGTGCAGTTGAAACTATGACGCCATGGAGTAAACAACGCAATTAGATTACGCTTTGTTAGAGCATTGGCCAAACATAACTTTGGTTTATTAGATAACCTTTTTTGATCAATGCAAGTGGTGGTTGCAGGATAAAAGAGTATGTACCGACATTAACAAGTTTAAATATACGTGTAACCATTAGTGAAAGAGTAATTTAGAAATGCCCTGGATAAGTTTGTCATTGTATTCTTGTACCAACCGAATATATGTGTACATGTACATATGACTGGACCAGTTGATCGTTACAATGAACGGTATGAACTTAATACAAAGTTTTAATCATATAACAACCAGTACAGACATATTAATTTAAAGTGAACCAACCATTGGAAGTCGTTCATTATATAAATTGAGGTAACGTAACCATTTGAACGTTGAGCAGTGACCAGAGAATAAGCAGCGGTCGATGAGTAGGACATTATACCCCGCACCCTCGGTTCTTTACAATATGTTACAATAAAGTAAGGCAAGAATGTTCAAACTGACCAATTAATACAACGTTACATGTAACCGGAGCGTAATAACTTCATAGAAAGGCATGAAAATCGTGCTCACAGTTAATGGAGGGGAAATTTTCCCTTTTCTTCTGTGATCTGCGTTCTTTTTGTTTGCCTTCTTTAAAAAAATTAGAGAAAAATCTCACTCCGTATACGGGTGTTTGACCATAGAAAAGTGTGGGTAAGGCAGTCAGTGTGGTTTTTGCAAGATGTTCCTTTGAATAGGTTTGTAAATAAATATTAAAATAAGTTAAGAGTTTTGTTTCTTTTAATAATTTCTGCGATCATGCAGATAAACAAATATGAAAATGCCTTCTATAGGTGACCACGGCATAGTGTAACTACCAACTTATCAATGCAAAGAGAAATGCGCAATCGGCTTTGGAAAACTGGTTTGCGGGCAAGGAGTGCCTTGTTTTGACATTATGACATCAAAATATTCGAACTGGGACAAGATAGATTATTAGAGTTGGCAAATGTTTCGTTTACAAGTGAGAATAATGAGTGACGAGTTAGCAATTTGTTTAGTGTACATGTTCAAATGTCATATACCCGTAAATGTATTTATCATTGTTACAAACCAATATAACAGTTTAAATTGCAGATTAAATAAAACTAAACTATTCTTCAGGTAATACCTTTCTAAATACATACGATTGTTTTACTATGGAGAATAACTGATGTAATTTTCACGAGTTTTCAAATGCTGAAAGAACATTACACAATGTATGTTGACATATACAAAAATGAATTACAATAACATCTATAAAAATCTTAATGTTAAAGATATGACTAAAGTAAGTATCAGTTCAGATATGGAATTATGATTTTTTTCGGAAGAACTACGGGGTTTTCCGCTAGATGGACTGGTTGTACCAGAAATGTACTTTGACTTGTCTTTGTCGTTACAGAATTCATTATCAGCGAGACATTCTGTTAAACACGTGTGCCAGTAGTTGTCAGTGGAACAGCAATTTCTGCCACAGTCCAGTGAAGCGCTTTCTCCACATCCTCTAGATATGGAACGAACTTCCAGTGTATCTGTTGTAAAATGAATTATCGAAAAGTTCAAGAATTGCAAAGAAATGTAAATAGTAAGAATATTTCATTTTGTCATTTTGAATGACAGGTTTTACAAAAGCAGTTTTTCTGTACATGTACATCATTTAAGTGAATGCAATATTACAAGGAATTATCAAATATTTAAATGAATGCAATATTACGAGGAATAATTAAATATTTAATTGGTTTACAGCACTGGTTTGCTTAGAGATTTACTTAAATTCTACTGGGGATAAATTTATATCTCACCCTTGTTGTACTGTACTCTAGTAAAACAGAAGCTATCGTTGGCACAAGGAACAGTGTTGGCGGTGGTTACGTTGAAGGGAGCGTTCACACACTCGTAATCACGCTTACCGCTGTTCTCAATGTACGTACAACTGTAACACGTCAGTCCATCGACAAAACATACTGAAAATAGAGGGAGATAAGTGTAAAGCTTAGCATAATTCAAAACTTATTAAAAATAAAGGGAGATATTGTAAATCTGCCTTATCCGCATATTAAGTATTCCACATCTCTTTCAGTAACTTCAATTTTTAAAATGTTGTATATATAATCCGGAGTGTTGTCTAATCCATCTGAAAGTGTTTGTTTTGTTTGTTTGTTCGTTGTTTAACGTCTCTCTCGAGAATTTTTCATTCGTATGGTAATGCCACCACCTATACTCGGCACTAAGGGCCATTGAGCAGTGAGGGATCTTTTTCGTACCAGCACCTACTGCGAAATGGGACCTTGGTTTATAAATACGGTCTCATTCAAAGAACCCATCTCCACGTCCCGCAATTGGATTTGAACAGCAATGGGAGTTGACGTAAGAATCAACTCCTTACACCGCGACCCTAGAGCAAACGCTCTGACCATCCACTGCACCACGCAAGCGACGTGTAATAATGGTTTAGTCTAATGATGTCTAATCTAATCTGTTCAACTTAGATAAGTGCAATTTCTTAGCATACTTAACATACTGAAAATAGAAGAAAATATTTATCTATATATAATCTACACAAAAAGCTCTCGTAACCCAGAGGTATTGCAAGCTACATGTTGCAACCCCCAGGTGCCTAAGATAAGTAAGGATCCCCTGTCGACCAGTCACATCCGCCGTGATCCCTATGTATTGATCTGGTAGACGGAGTAGTCCGTAGTCAGATTTAGAATAAAAACGAAAGCCTAACAAATGGTATCAAACATGTCAGACAAAATACGACCCAACGTTTGGTTGTACATGTATTTACGAAAGTCATTATGACGACCTTAGAGTCTGCGAAAAGCTGACTTAAAACGGGGTTGTTGAAGTCCTTGTAACTTCAACTTATTTGTCAGTAGCTTGCCTCAGTTCAAAACACTGATCATATTCAGAGCATGCTCTTGGTTTTTGAATCAGTTGGGATACATAAACACTACATACAGGTGATGTAGGGATATTGCTACAAAAAATAAGGAAAGCTGACGATGGAAAACCTGAAGTCGTCCCTTTTGTCATACAGTTTAGGTATTAGTCGGTCATTACCGTCTTAAGTCAGTAAAACACCTAAATATAAAAAGATGTGGCAGACTTCGTACTGCCTTTTATTTCGAGTTCACTGGGATATATCAAGTCGACATATGAATGAAAGAAACAATTGTTAATTGATAAAACGTCGATATATATATAAAGGTTGAATTGAAGGCCACATCAAGAGGTTTTTTTCTCATGACGAAGTTTTTGAATAAATTCTGCTTCAAATTAAAACAAAAACAGGTTAGGTAATAAAGGAACACAATTAGTGTCCATGGGAATTGTTGGAAGACCTTGTCTCCAAATAAAACATAGATATTGTCAATGAGGAACTCCGGCATCTTTTTAATATCAACTTCAAAGTACTTAAAGAATCAGAATTATTTGTAACAAAGTAATTTTGTAGATGATCAGTCACAAAATATAAAGATTTACGTGTTCCATTTTTATTGAGGAAGCAGTTGTCTATGATGTCAAAAAGTCTGCTCTTTAATTTACCTTAATTTATAGGAATTGTTGTATAAAGCAAATGTCATACATGTATGTTTTGATAATGAATATTTCGAATCGTCACAATTTTCTTCACTTTCCCAAGTATTAAAATCATTCGTCTATGAAATAATGTGCATACTCCAAAGAGGGCAAATTTCAGACAATAACAAGATGGCCTGTGTTCAAACAACAACGCACTTTCTAAAAATAGAATAATATCCGCGGGAATGTTTTTTTTTCTCATAATTTCATGCCTTTCACTAATAAATACTCTGCGCTATATACTAAGTTCACAAATTGAGCATATTACTACATATATCTATTGTACATTTTATTATTTTGTGGTTTTGATTCGCTGTCATTTATTGCATACTTCAATAAATGACCATTTTAATTCTTCAAGGAGGAGTTATGTTTTTGTATTAATTATGGTTGGAAAGGCAAGCAGACATAAATATCTATCAGAAGCATATCCCACGCCTGCTTCTCCGAAGTTCTTTATGCGCTTGCTTAAAAGTTTAAAAACTTTAAAAAAAAAAAAAAAAAGCTAGACTAGTTGAAGTCTGAGAATTATTTCATTTTGTTTATTTCTCATTAACATGCGGTATATAAACATATTTATATACAAATAAAAAACATGGTCAAATAGGGAAGAGTAATAAAACAAAACTTTACTTAAAGAGGCTGGGGGGTTGTGGCCATTTTTAGACTATATTGATCTCCTTTAGAAGAAGAGCTCCATATGAAGATATAGAAAATGATCAAATTTTAAAACTAAAATTTTTGAAATTTTTCTTTGCCAAATGATAGTTGACAGCTTAAGATATCATATCTAAAAAATTAAGTTAAATCTGGTGGTTAATTTGTGGTTAATTTGTTGACCCCCCCCCCCCCCCAGCCTCCTTAAAACAGACCAACATTTTTTAATGAACAAATAAAAGACGTGTTTTATAATGAATGAAGATCTGTGCTATATATAAGAATAACAGCATGTCATATAAATGTCCTGATTTAACAAGAAATGACGAGAGTCTTAAAATAAATTCGTTGCTCTCGTGACGAATGACATTAACGAGCCAAGGGCAAAGCACTCCTTTAAAGGTAAACTCAGTTAAATAACACAGATGCATGTTATGTCTAAGATTACTTCTGTATCACGCATTTTCGATTTAACTTAGAATAATTATAAACACAAGTGAACGTATTTCTAAGAAAATAATTGTACATGCATACACGTATATACATACATGTACATTGTTACCTTCAAATATATTGAATAAATTATGAAATTTCCCAAATCAATTAATACACAACACTTGCACTTCGTATTTAATGAAACGTGTGGAATATTGTTATTTTTTTTTTCTAGATTTAGTAGTTATTATGTACTTTGTAAAGCTAGCGGATTACAACACATCGTATACTTTGTTCTATCTCACATTACGGAGCGTATTATACTTACAAAGAGAATGAGAAAATAAAAATCCAATCATAAATCCGTAATCCATATTCTGTTTGATATACACCAACACTACAATGATTCATAAAGATATTTGATTATTATCGAAAATAACAAACATTTTCAGCCTTAGGCAAAATACATAGAGACAACACAGACAAGTATATTTAGACTGTCAAATACGTGGAATTCTCAGTTGTAGAACAGCTGTAATTCAGTCAAGCATAAAGAACAGGAAGTATAATGAACGTCCATTGTTTTGGGTGTGTTCTCACGTTTCACCAATTGTTTGTACTGTATGGAAGAAAGATAAAGCTGACAAAAGTGTGTTGGTTTATAAAAATAATATTAGTTACAGCAACAAGTAGGTCTGATGCGTAAAATTTTGTCTTAATGGAAATTAATAATTTTCTATCGAAATGACCTATCCTTGATAGGTGAATTAAAAACTTGACTAAATTAATTCGCCTCAATCTTCGAATGAACATGTAAACCTTTTAATGGTAACCGCTTTTTTCTTTATACATATTTGATATATTTTATTTTTTTAGCATTGTAATAGTTGTTAAATTTCAATAAATTTTCTTTTAATGTAGATAAGAAAAGCTTAAAGGTGAAAAGAAATCCCCACGTATACTTGTGATTTTAAAAATCCTCTCGCAAAGACAAAAAAAGAGAAGAAACTATAAACATAAAATTAACTGTTTTCAAGGTACCCAGGGAAGTAATGTTTAAATATTCTAAGATTAACAAATGTAATTTAAAAACATTCTACTAAAACTTTTATCATCAACAATTTTCCTCTTTTAGTTGCAGCAACGTATCAGATAGTCTTCATTGTATACATACATACAAGTGTGTCTGTATTTCATTAAAGAAAAAACCTAATAAATGTATTTATGTATTAATGTATGTCTGTATTTTATTAAAAAAAACTATATTAACTGCATGTCTGTATTTCATAAAAAGCTTATAAACGTACGTCTGTATTTCATAAAAAGGCATAAATGAAGCACATTGATAGCCATTGATGATGATGCAACGTTTACTAATCATAAAATCGATCATTACTCATAACGCCATCAACCAATAATGATAACATGTTTTAAAAGAAGGCATATACATGCCCTTTCATCAGATGATATAAAAGGCAGTCTTTTAACCTTGGAAACTATAGTTACCAGGCCCGTAGGAAGCAATTTTAGTTGGGGGGGGGGGGCACAGCCATACATTTTTCAGTTGAACAGTTGAGGGGGCACTACCAAAATTTTTCTGACAAGCAAAAAAAAAAAAAAAAGGTCATCAGCCGTTTTTATTGAGGGGGCACAACCGTATATTATCTATGTTTACTATAGTAATCTATATATCGGGAAAATTATCATGGTTACATTTAGCATTCACTCATCGTATGTAAAACAGAGTACGCAAATGATCTGAACTTATAGCATCCATAAGATACTAGTATTAGAACTTTTTTTTGAAGATTGTAAGTCAAAGTGTGACTAGAAGTACTGTTATGATCCAGGAGTATCATTACTATGCTTTCGTATTAAATGTCACATGACAGGAAGTGTAAACTACATCATTTTGTTTAACTTTATGTTCAAATATGTCTCTCAAAGATATTCTGTAATTTTCTAAAGTTTACATAATCGCAGTCCTATGTGATTTTTTTTTCTAAATGACGTGTAATTTGGGACCTTTTAAAACTCGTTATCTTTTAATTTCTTCAAATAGAACTTACCCGAACTTTTTAGAAAGAATCCCTTATTTAAGATCATATAGTGTGTTTAAATGAATGCCAGGTCTCTTCCAAAGAAATTAATTGATAAATCGTGAAAAAATCTAACAATTTCAAAAATGTAAATCTTAAAATAAATTCTAAATAGCAAAATTATGTTTCACTGACTATAGACAATAAGGGCTAATTAACAACTAAATTGTATGACAAACAATATATGACCAGTTTTTCCATCGTCAACTTTCCTTATTTATTTAGTGATATTCCGCTATCACCAGCATATGTTGTTAATATCTCCCAACTTATTCGATACTCAAGAGCATGCTCTGAGTACTAACAATTTTTAAAAACGAGGCATAATACTGACAAGTTGATGATGAGTTGATGTTACAGGGATTTCAACAACCTCGTTTAAAGTAAGCATTTTGTAAATTCTCTGGTCGTAATAATGGAATGTTCCGTTTACCTGATCAATACATAGGGCTCACGGCGTGTTTGACCGATCAAAGGAGGATACTTACTCCTCCTAGGTACCTGGGGGTCGTAACATGTAGCTTGCTAAGTTTGTAACTTAAGTAGGGTAATAAGTACGTTTTAGGTGCAATCTTAAGACCTGCCTAAGTACTACTTAAGTATGTCTTAATTCTTAAACTATAACATAAAACGGACTTAGCTTGGTCAAAAGGAAATCATTATATAAAGTTAACTCTCCTTGTGTCATCTTTTTGGCTCTATATACATGTATAGTTGTACATGATTTATTCCTAACTGCAAGCATTTGTTTAAGGGACAAGAACGTCTTTTGGTTGCTTGTGGAGAAGGTAACAATGAAGTTGATTCCAGTGTGCATCTATATTCAGACCATTATCATGGACAACTTCAACAGATAAAAGAACTGCAGAATATTACTAAATTACTTGTTCACCTTTTGATTAAGGAACCCATCTTCCCATATTTAGTCTTAAGTGGCTTTATGGTCAATACTCTTTGTCGTTATGGATGTTGACGACAGCTAAGATAATTACATGTACCACAGAAAATTCATAAAATCCGCATTTCTGCTGATTTTTCGATTCAGAAAAACGTTCAACCCACGGCTGGAATTTTTCTTCTTTGCCAAAGATATGAAAATTATGAAGGGATCTTGCGGAGAAGAGGAGGGGTAAGGTCCCCTTAAAATTTTTAGAGTGAATAAATCTACGTAAGAAGTATCTTTAAAAGTCCCCTCCTTTCAAAAAGAAGGATGCTGCGTTCGTTTTTATGTTTTCATTTTTAGGGGTTTTTTTTCTTTTCGGTTTTTTCCTGATTTAGGTTTTCTCTTTAGAATGGGTATGGAAACCACGCTCCTAGGAAATATTCCTGGATCCACCCAGATGATTCTTCCGAACACTGCAAAATCTAAAACTACAGATTTAATTTCATGTATGCGTAAAGGAAAATTAAATCAAATGTAAATTGGTAGATCTCTCCATCAAAATAATTAGTGAGCTTAAGCAGTATATAGCATACATAAAGTTAACAGAAATGCATGTGTGGTTCATGCAGTTCAGCATATTTCATCTTTTTGTCGATAGATGTTCTGTACGGAAATTCTAACATTTGTAATAACGAATTAAATTCGCTTAAACAAATTCTATAATTTGCTATATTAAAGTCGTCTAATCAAATTCGACGATTATGGCCTGTAGAAAAGAATTTGTGAATATGTTTTAACGAATTCAGCAGATTTTTTTAATGAAAATTAAAATCGTTATAACGAATTTAATTCGCCAACACACATTTTAGAATCCCTTAAACGAATTTAATTCGTTATAATAATTTTTTCAATTCGTTATAACGAATTCAAGAATTGAAATTCGTTATAACGAATTCAAGAAATTCGTTATAACGAATCCAAGAAATTCGTTATAACGAATTCAAGAAATTCGTAATAACAAATTTAATTCGTTATAACGAATTCAAAACATTGTTATGACGAATCAAATTCGTTACACAAATTCGCCAATTCGTTACATCAAATTAAAAAATATTTTTTGATAGGTGCTAATTGGGCTTCCATAGTTCTGGGCCCCAAGACGATAAATTGAGAAAGACAAGTTTTACGTCACTGCCTTTAGCTACTGTGAAATTGCTAATTTTCGTTGCTCTGTGATATGAAGAGACTCACAAATTCATGTTCACTACAAAATTATAAAATTTCAAACTATTATATGTTTCTTCTTCAGCCACGAAATCGAATCCTCACGACAAACAAGGTCATTATAATGACCATATAATGAACAAAATACTGACTTCAAAGGATATTGTGGATAGCCCTGTGACATCAACCTATTTTTCAGTAACCCGATTTAAAATTGATCGTATTCAGAACATGCTCTTGCCTACCGAATAAGTTGGAAAATATAGACACCAAATGGTGATAGTTGAATATTACTACATAAAAAAAAAATGGTCATCCCATTTATCATTTATTTTAGATGTCGGTTTTATTAAGTTTACAGTCAGTAAAACACCCAAATATGAACATATTTAACAGACTTTGTGATGCCTTATCTTTCTAGTTTACTGGTATATTATTCGACATACGAAGTAAGAATTGTTAATTGATAAAACGTCAAACGGCTAATGCCACAACAAGATTTTTTTTTTCCATCACAAGTTTTATTTCTAAAATTCGACTCCATAAGAATATGAACAGATTGGTAAATAAAGGATTACAATAAGGTGCATTGGAATTCCGACGTATTGATGGAAGACCTGGTCTCCAAACACTAAATAGAAATTGTCAATGAGGAACTCAATTTAACTGATCATTTTCAGAGTAAAATTTGAATTTTTAACAAGGATTTTATCTTTAACAACATGAAAATTTCCGTGTTTCATTTAGAGAAACAGTTGTCTATAAGGTCAAAAAGCCTTATAAAGAATCGTTGTACATGTATAATTGATGAAAATTCATTCCGGTACGTTTTGATGTTTGCTTTTTTGGGAAAAATGTCTAATCTACTTCGAATTTCCATATTTACCATAATGTATATGTTTTACATGTCAGTATGAAGTATTTAAATACGAATGTATAATTATGTAATTAAAAATATTTTATATTTGACCTTTATTACATGTTATATGTATACATGTATTACCAAAGAATATATCTCACATTCTTGATAAACCTATTTACATGACCATAATGATCCCTTCGTTTGTCTCTGTTAGTAAACATTCACATATTTAAGAAATTCATATCTACAATCATATAATAAAATCGTATTATATTCAGCTACAATAGTATTGATACACATAGAAACTTAGTGTATCAGACTTTGAGGTTGTCCTAATGTCGGGAAAAATTAATCAAGTAATAACCTCTCAGTACTTATACATACAATGTATGTCAAATATATGTATTTAATCGCCCAAGTCATCGCTTTTGAACAGGTTTAGC